TCTCTCTCTCTCTCTCTCTCTCTCTCTCTCTCTCTCTCTCTCTCTCTCTCTCTCTCTCTCTCTCTCTCTCTCTCTCTTCAACCCACCTAACACCACGAAGATTTCCACGGAGTCCACGATTCGACAGGACAACCGTTATGCAGCACACACAGTAAAATTCTTAAGCTGCTTTTTTTTTCGCGGACCCCCCCTTACGTGGCACTGCTTTCCTTTTCTTCGCCCCTGCTCTGCTGCCATCTCTTGCCGCCTGTCCGGCCTCCATCCGTTGCTGTCTCTCCTTAGCTCTCGCCTTCTCGTCCAACATGCCTTGATATTTCTCAACCCAGCGAGGCTTCGACAACCTATCCACCAGTCTCATGTCCCTGACTTGGATCGTCACCCTCTTCGAATGGATGGCCACCTCGTTGGTATTCTCGAAATTGGCGACCAGGTATGCCTCGGCAGCCTCCATCAAAGCATGCACTGACGTCATCTGAAACCTCACGCCCATACCCGAAGCAATGTCCTCCTCCACAACCTCGCGCACGAGCCGCAAGAACGGCCTGAAAGCCAAGCAAAGGTCGGTGGATCGTTGCAACTTTCTGATTTCCGACAAAGTTGTCATCCCGAGGTGTCGACGGGGTCTGTGGACATGAGTTCGTGCACCTGCGGTGTCTCCGGTCGCTGGCACCGCCTTCGGGTTCACCTTCTTTCTGCCTGCGGGCGTCTGCCCACGTGGCGGTCCCGACGTGCACTTCTTCTTCTTCCCCGGGCTCTGCGACATCGCGACATCGCTCAAGCCGCCCATGTCACCCTGTGCTGCAGAGCACCCCCCGACTCGACCAGGACCAGATGGGCCCTCCACCTCAGCAGACAAACGAGAAATTTTTGAGCGCTTCTCTGTCCTCTTGCCTGGCTGCGCTGAACCTGCCAAGTCATTCTCCGGCAGATACCGAATGTCTCGCAGGAGTCCATCTGAGTAGGTCAGATGGAAAGGCACACCAAACGGGTCTCTGAATCTCATGGTGACGTCTCCACCATGCTCATATGTCATGGGACATACGACCGGGTCCCAACCAAGAACGGTCGTGCAACCGTGCCTGTAGCGAATGTGAGTCATGTATCTGTTCTGACTGTCGCCGTGCTCTTGGCCCGTACAACTCCCCTCAACCATGGACCACATCCCCTGGTCAGCCATGGAGTCATAACCCGCGCACACCATTTGACGTTCCTCCTCCCTTATCTTCTCCCAGCAGCGCTTTGCGTGTTCAACCACCAGCACGTGGTCCTTTACATTCACATTGAAAATTGAGACACGTGTCAGAACCAAACGGAACTGCCAATGCTCCACAGTGCCTACACGCATCCATCCCAATGGGAGCCAATGCCCTGATTGCAGTCTTGCTGCCATCGTCACCTTGCCATCAACCACTGCAGGATGCAAACATCCTGGGACCCAATTGACACGACAGTCATACTTTTCAGAGGCCATATGCTGCTGTAACTGTCCTTCAGGGATGGCACGGGCCCCAATGTCCATGGCAGACAGAACGTCAGTCCTCATTGTGACATGGTCCCATATCTGCGAGCATAGTCCATCATACGTGGCTTTCTGCCATCTTGCATGCGTGTATGTGTTGCCATCCTCACCAGTGAAAACTTTCTCTTCAACCACCTCCAACTCCACAGGGTTCCGAAGCGGCGGGAAAAAGCAGCCAACAATATGGGTAGGACATGCCATTGCCTTCTTCTCGTCTTCTGAGACCTCCCTGTCGAGGTGCCTGAAGGAGAAGTTGCCATTCACATAATGCGTGCTCCTGACATTTCCCATGGCATCACGCATCATCATCCTCACACGGCCACATGGAATCAGGATCACACATGGCACCCAACCCCACCTAGGATCCCTCCTCGCATCGCTCTCGCCTCCAGAACACGCCACATGTCCAATGCATATCGTCATTTCACCTGTGGTGTTGCCCCATCGTTCAACCTTAATATTCTGTCAAACACGATTGACAGAGTCACGTTTCGCCATGTATTCATTTTGGGGGCAGGAAATGGAACCCATGTCCCTTCGACTTTGAACGCAAAGCAGGGTGCTCCTCCAACAATACCCGGTTGAACACGACCCGACACCCAATTGATATCGTATGGGTACTCTTCTCCTGCTGATGTCTTCACCACATTTTCATCTTTCACAATACACCCTGTCAGAGATTCCCTGCTTCCCAGACCTCCCTCCTCTCTCTCTTCCCCAACCGTTTCCGTCTCACAAGTGTTCCCTTCTGCATCATTCTTTGTTTCATCACCATCACCCATCATCTCTGCAGTCTGTGCACATATTGTCGCAAGCACCTCTGCACAGTCTGCGCTGTTCCCTCCAGCCGAATTCCCTTCCTTGCTACCATCTGCAAAACCCTTCAGAATGTCCTCCGTCTCCATGACACATGTCTCTCCACCGTTGACAGTCGATGATGCAATCGCGGGTTCCATCTATTGCATGAGACACCACATACATTTATGAGAACACGTAGCTGCGACATGGCCCCCTCACCCGAGAGAGAGAGAGAGAGAGAGAGAGAGAGAGAGAGAGAGAGAGAGAGAGAGAGCAACGACAGAGGTAGGTTCACTAGTGCCGGCCAGAAGGACAATAAACAACACCGATGGACACTGATATGGCACGCAGTAGTGAACCACTTGTGTGTCGTGAGGCAAAAAGCAGCAAACATTATGGACATAAATTTACTTCAAGCCTAGGTTGTTTTACCGGACGTCCGAGACCCCTGGGTTGTCCGACCGGACGTCTGGTCGGACATCGGACGGTCTCGGACCGGACAAGGGTTGTCCGACCTAGTGCAAAAAAAAAAAAAAAAAAAAAAAAAAAA